TAGATCTAGTCTAAATCTGCCCTCTTTTAGTTTAAAACCATTACCCCTTGTCCTGTCACAACAGGCCCTGCTAAAAAGTCTGTCCCCATCTTTCTCCTAAGCCCCTTTCAGTCCTGTCAGGCTGAGTAAGGTCTCCCCGGAGCCTTCTCTTCTCCAGGCTGAACAACCCCAACTCTCTCAGCCTGTCCTCATATGAGAGGTGTTCCATCCCTCTGATCATTTTTGTGTCCCTCCTCTGGACCTGCAAGAAATGGGAATAGATCCTGACAAAGGGTATTTAATCACCATCTCAAGATGAACAGCCTAATAGAGAACAGTGAGCTCAAAGCAGCAGCAGCATAGCCTCTCACTGGTGGTAATAAAAGCATATCTGAGAGAGATAAGCAACATAAATTCCGTAAAAAATACACTTTCTTTAGACATCACATTGAAGGGGTCTGAAATAACAACAGATAGCAAGAAATTGTCCCTTCACATCTTTTTTTTATGGGCAGTTGGAGATTTGCTTTGTCTTGTTTTTGGCTGATAATGTGTGTTTAATTTAAAAAGAGGAACGATTCCAATAAAAAAAAGACATTTCCTATGGGAAAAAATATGACCTATTCCAAATATCTGAAAAAACATGCTTCTCACAAGTTCTGCAAAAAGGAACAGATTAGTACACGTTCAATAAACATGTTTTGTGAACATTTTTTTGTATTTGACCTTTGGGCTATGTTATTTCCCTTCGCATCTTGGATAAGCAGGTGGCCTGGACAGTGCATTCTTTTATATTTTATTACTACTTTTACCAGCAGAGCTAAAAGAAAAATCTTACTGTTGACCATTTTTTCCCCCACTTCTGCTTTATTTTTGCCTCACTCAGTTTGTCTCACTTATGCCGGTCAGTGCTCCATGTTACTCCCAGCCAAACTCTCCATGTTTATCTCTAAGTAAAACGTATATAGAACAGTATCTATCTGAGCTAGTAAATAACACTTTGGTAATGACCAATCACTGAAATGAAGCCACAGAAAGGGAATGGACAGGATTTTCGCTTCTTTTCTCTACAGTGTCTTTTATTCATCCATCAGCTGGATGCTTCTGTGCTAAGTCCTTAATACTGGAAGAGCTGTGAATTATGGGTTTTTTATAGGCAAGATTGTCCTAACAGAGCTACTACTGACTTAGCATGGATGATGAAGTGGGGAGCTAGTGGGCTGCAGAGGTCTGGAATCATACCAATTGTTTCTGTTCATACAGGGAGCATCAAAGGAATTTGTCTTTCTGCCTCTCCTATCAGTCCTCCATGGTCCTAGCCATGTTCACAGCTCATGTATAGCTCCAGGTTTTACTTGCAATTTTGTCATAACCTAAAGTCATAAAGTACCTAAGAGCTCCTAGGAATGGCCATCCAAGGAAGCTGTAGATTTTAGGGTGTTTTTTCCTTTATTATTTTGTAAATTTATTATCTCAGAAACACATGAAATGCATCGGAATCCTTGCTTCCTACTCTTGAGGGAGTTTTGTATAAAATATGTTGATTTTTGTCAGTCCTCTCCAAAGATCTTCCTCTCTTGCTTGTACTTTCTCCCTGCCCATCCCATTTTTTCATTTTTTCTTCTAGAAACAATTCTTTAATTATAAAGAAACAAGAGAAGAGCAGCAGCCATTTTGGAAACATTTTGCCATCTGAATTCTTTAGGGGTTTCCTTGTTGCACCTCGTCAGCTTATCTGCCACATCACAGAGACCCTTTTCAGTGTAAGTAAAACAAAGGATTTCAAATCACTGTGGCTTAGACTCCTTGTGTCCCAAAAGGGACACTTATAAATAAATTAAAAAAAGAACATCCAGAATTAAAATCGAGTGAAGATCTTTATTTCTTGGCTAGGGAAAAAAACCACCTCTGGTAGATTGCATCAAATTGGACACTGCATGTGTTTTTTTTCTTGTCAGCTTCTTATTTTTGGAAAGGAGTTCAATAAAACAAAGCTTTTCCTTAGAAAATTCTTAAGCAAAAATTTTCTTGATCATCCTCTTGAAGAATATGAGGAATGCATATGATCAAAATTGGCATTAAGTACCCTGAAGACCTGCGACCAAAATAAAAAAAAATAGATCCATTTTATTTCTGCCAGTTAAGGGACCTGTTTGCTCTCAAGCTTTGTAATAGCTGTCTGTGCCATACCCATTGACCTTGCTGGCTTCTCTCGTAGTGGTTTTTTTGGGGAAAGATCTTCTTGCAGTAATGACACTGTCTACTGAGCGGGTGAATCAGACTTCCAGCGATATTTTGGAGGCTGACTGGAAGTTTCACAACAAACCAGCCATGGGGATACAGTAACATGATATCCAGCCAAGAACGCATCACCTACTGCTAAGTAAGTCTTATTACTGAGACCTTAGATTAGGGCTGTCTATTATTGCTTAGCCTAACTGTAAGCTGACTCATATCTGTCACCATGAGTAAAAATCCTGTGGTGTCTACTTCTACCATGCTGCTATGTATGTTTCTGAGCACTAGAAAGCAGATGACCTGGAGATCTTCTGCATATCTTTGCTGTCACCAATTGTCCTCTCCAATCTAACCTGGCATGGTACTCCTTGTGGTAAATGAGATCCTTCCATGGGATATGCTCCTTCACTTTCCTCCTGAGGACATGTTGCTAAACCCTTTTGTTAAGTTACAAAAAAACCAACCACACACACAAATTTTTTCCTGAAGAACTTTCTGCTGCTAAAAAATGTACATCTTTACCTCCTTCAATGGGCTCACTAGAGTTGGAGTCTACAAGAGAATAAGGACCTCTGAGCTGCATTTACTCTATTTTGATAAGGTGTAGCTTTTTGCCTAATAAAGGCTCTTGTAAACAGAGCATTGAAGTGATCTGCTGGTAACAACTAAAATGACTTTGCTGGATAGCAGAGCATTAAAATCAAAGTAAAAGCCAGGAGGGCTAAAGGACTTCCTATTTAGACATAACAATTCAAGACTGGTCTCCTGCTTTACTGAAGCAAAGCAAAAAAAAAAAAAAAAGATCTAAGTGAGATTTGGAACTTTATTGCCATTTACCAGCTGATTCCTTTCTGTGTAATTTATCAGGAGGAGAAAATCCGAAACGTGTCCTAGTCCTGCTACTAAGTAATATTTTCATAGGAAGTAAGCTGAGACATCAACATCATCCTCATCATGAGAAGGTAGAGGTAGAGCACTTCATCCATGATAATTAAAATACCATGGACACATAGCAGTGAATCTTTAAACAACACATGGGTCTAAAGCCCTGCTGTTTGTTACACAACCATAAGAAACAATTATAACTTCAGTCATCACAGCTATGCTACGACATAAAACTATTGCTTGGTGCCAAAACCTAGTCAGACAGTTGTATACCTCCAGCCATTTCAGGTGTTATTGAAAAATCTTCCCAAGAAATACAGTCCCTGGTTTAACAATATTGCATGCATGAAACTCATGCTCTCCTCAGCAAAACATGCAGTAAAAAGTCATATTTTCATTCCAAGCTTCCAAGAGGACTGGGCATAAGCAAGGAAAAGAGGCATTTGAAGAGCAGAAAATGCATTGATAGTTACCTTCATATAGTCATATATAAGAGAGTCTAAACTATGGAGGCTGTATCTTTCACATGCACCTAACGTTTATTGAAAGATTTCTTAATTCTTTTGTTGTTTTCTTCAGTGCAGCATCTCTTTCAAAGACATTTTGTTAACATTCCTTAATTGTTAGTGGAAAGGATACTGCTGCAACAATATATTTTTTCAAAGATAGTACAGATACTAGTGAAATATTAGAGCAATTTATTTGTGACATTCTTTGAGAAGGCTGAATATAAGGATTTTCTTGTTGTACCTTCTATGGGCCAAAAAAAAGGCCTGAATCACATTCACTGAATATTACACCTTAGAGCTACAGTGGTATAGAAAGGTCACCTTATCCATCTCTCTATGACTACTTTATGAGTGCAAGCTGCTTATAGTTTGAGGCAACCTTTGGTGCTATGTTTATTGGGTGTCTCTTGTATGAAACATTTTTAACAGAAGAGAGACTTAATGTAACTAAAACATACAGTTTTTATATTTCTCTTTCCCAAAACTAACTTATGAAACATACAGCCAGTGGCTGAAAATTTATTTTTTTTTTTTAAAGTTTTATTTTTGTAACTGCTGATAGGCTGGCTTTCCAATGAAACAAGATTTTTTCTGATATTTTTGACACTGTTACATGTATTAGAACTTCCCTTGGACCATCGAGCCACCTCCTTTCCAACAGAACAAATTACGTGAATCTAATAATGAGAGTCTCCTTCGGATTTTTCTAAGGCCTCACTCAATCAACGCTTCCTTGCCTTTAGTTGGGTTTATCCACAAAGAGAAGTTCACAGTAATTGAGCACGAAGTAAGCACGGGTCCTTCTATTAATTTCTTGGGCTTGGGAAGAAAGAAATGAGGGGTTATTTAGTTGTCAGGGAAAAATGTTTACATACTGGGATGAAGTCGGCTACAGATTATATGGCATGAAGAATGAAGGATGCCTTGAAGTATTTGCAACATAGCATTATTGAGACAAGCACTGTCCCAGTCCAGTCACCTGGGATTAAACTACAGCCTAATCCCATCTCTTAATTGTACTTTTTCATTTAGCCACCAGAAATGCTCTCTTTGGCTGACAAGTAGGACAGCTTCTGGCTCTCCTCTAGTGACCAGGAAAACTTTCTAGCCATGAAGTGGGGAAATAGGATCATTCTCTCGTTAAGCATACTTCCACCTCTTTCTAAAGAACTGCACACACAAACTGTTTCTGGTTTATCTGTGGGTGCATGTCTGTGCAGTGTGGCTCTAGACAGAAGCCTAAGTGAAAAAGGCAGAACCTAGAGAGTTGCAGAGCTAAATCTTTCTAAGAGGCTACAACACAAAGAGAAGGAACAACCACAGCTGACAACCACTTCTCCAAGCAGGTACCTGTGCTAGTGCTTTGTATCTGGTGGTTCCCAAAATTCTTCAGTAGGGACGATTTGCATCCTTTGGCCTCTTCAGCTGCACCTTCAGCCTCTTCATGCCAATCTGGAAGCCATTCATAGCCTGGATAGCAGCTTGGGCACTGGCAGGATTGTCAAAACTCACAAAACCTGTCAAAACATGAGGCAAGGTAGGGAGCTTAATGAGCTGAAGGAGGTCAAGGCACATACATGGAACGACAACTAAGAATGAACATCGGGAAGGCGGTGGGGGGGGGTGTGTGAGTGAGTAGGTAGGAGCGTGGGTGGGGAGGAAAGTGATGAGAGTATAGTTGCCAAAGGGAGACAAAGGGTAGGCGGAGATGTTACAAATCTTTGTCCCAGGATGCACTGCCTCACCTGAGTGCCAGTTTGGACACACGACTATAGGAAGCAGGGTGATCCAAATGCAGTTAGCACAACAGAAGAGCACAAACATGATTCGGGTCACATTTGGAGCTGAATCTTAGCAAAGGTGATGCACGGCCACAAGTCACATTCTTACTTTTTTCCCCTGCATGATGAGTGGGCTAAAACTTGAGACCCTCCTGCACTGACCAAGATAACCTTTCCTTTGTCTTCCAGTATTCACAATGAAAATAAATGCTATGCCTTCTGCTACTTCCTTATTATGGCAATATAAGAAAAATGTGAATTTAAGTTCTCCATTATGGTATTTATTAGCAAGAATAGTTTGATTGTTGACCAACTAAGCTATATGAAGCTTTATTAACTGGCAATTTCTGCAGACTTGACAGTTGACTATGCACTTAAAAAACATAAACACTGGTGCTTTCCTGACACGGTTGTTTCCATAAGTACTTTCATACATTGCCAGCAAATCGTCCAATCAGCCATTGAGTGCATCCAGCAGTAAAAACACCCATAGTAACTGAACATGGTACCTACAGGCCATCTAAAATGACAATCTTTGTCTCAGTGGAAGAGTGGCTGTCTGGGGATAAACAGAGTCTAGGTAAGTCAGAACCATGCAGATGAAATACATTTAATGCATTCAGCTTTGGGGAGGTTTTTTTGGTGTGTTTTTTCTTCTATTTTTTAGGTGAGCTCCAGGATTAGGCCTCATTCACTCAGAATTAACCTAGAGTGACCAGGACTTTGACATATTAGTGAGACAGGGGGCCAGCACATTGTACAAGAATTGCCTCTGCTACCTTTGCAAGAAATGTTCCTGTGTGCCAGTATTTCTGAACACAAACTCTGGTTATGCTAGCATGGACCAGCCTGCAGTCCAGACAAAGCCATCTCTTTTGCCAATCCTGAAGAGCTCTGGCAACACAAATAAACTCTAGGACCCCAGCATCTCTCAATAGACAGTTTGCGAGAGCCTCAAAAAGATAGCTTGAGCATTTGCTGCCAGGTATATACCTACTCCTGTGAACAGTACCAGGCAGGGCTTACATCCTTGGGCTGTGCTGTAATTGCATTCAGCAGCACCTCCTCCTTGGTCTAGTTACTCCTTGAAATTAAGTCTCACAGATGATACAGTCACTTGCATTTGAAAAAGGGAAATATACACATGCATACACATATATGTATATGCTCACTCTTGCATTAAGGCTGTACTCCTTGCCTTTGGCTAATAATAAAAGTTTACGAAAAGTCATAAAACTTATGATCTTAGTCTGGAAGTGAGACAATGGGTTTACTGAGTGTAGCACATATTGTTTTAATAGGGAGGCCAAGGAATAAAGAGGCGTCCCTCTTCGTCCTCCCGTCTTGAAGCTGAGGCTCCAAGTAACAAGATCTCCATGCAGTTTTCCTAATAGCCACCTGGATGAGGATGTACCAAATCTGCAGCTATGACAACATGAGCAAAAGTGTTCTCAAGCCTTACAGCACTCATCAAGCTCTAGACAGGAAATTGGAGCTGTTCAGCCATGTCAGGTGATGCACAATGACCAAGGTAAATACCTTAAGATTTCTGGAAACCCTTCTAGAGAAGGATTTTATAGTGTCATTAGAGACCTATCTTTAGAAAAATCATATAATTCACCTTTAAGTGGTCAGAACACGACCAGATTTGTAGGTCATATTGCCAAAAAAAGGGAGAAAACATGTTGCCTCTGAAGTAGCCAAAGAGCAGCTGGTCTTAGACATTAGATGCACCTCCTCCCTTTTACAACAATAAACATGCCTGGGGATGTTTATTCAAGAGGACTGAAGTTCATCTGGTAAAAGGGGTATAGTCTCACTATCTCTAGATTTTCTATGGATTAAATCACTGACAGTCTCACTAGAGCTGTGCCCTGGCCTGCAAGGAAGACCAAGAGCAGCCTGAGTTCTATTAAAAAGAGCATAGCTAGTAAATTAGGGAAGTGAAACTCTATTATTTTAGTCATCGCTTATTAGAACACACCTGGACATATAGTTTTGAGCACCCCTCCCCGCCAACATAAGCAAGACAGTGAGAAAGTGGAGTGAGTTCACCATAGGGCCGTCAGGCTGGACAAGGGCTGGAGCACTTGTCCTATGACAAGAAGAAGTCAGAAATAGTCTCTTCATGTCAGGGGAAGTACAGATTGGAGATTACAAAAAGGTTCTTCACTGAAAGGATGGTTGGTCCTTGGAATAAACTCCCCAGGGAAGTGGTCATGGCAGCAAGTCTGTCAGACCTCAAGGAGCATCTGAACGATGCTCTTAGTCATATGGATTAGTTTTAGGTAGTCCTGCAAGGAGTAGGGAGATGAATGCAATGATCCTTAATTGTCCCCTCCAACTTGACATACTCTATGATACTGTGACTGTATGATTCACAGGGGTGCATGGTGAGACAATGAGAAACAAGGGACATGACATAAACTGAAAAAAGAAAGGTCCAGACTGGATACAAGGAAAAGCTTTTTCACCTTGAAGGCCAGCAAGCATTGGAGCAGTTTGCCCAAATGCAAACCACTTGTTCAGTGGTTTTCATTGCAGACATAACTGCAGACATATTTGCTATTGCAGAAGTATATAGTACATATATAATGTACAACCCTATACATCTGTATATATTACTGATCAAAACTGGGGAGAGTATAAATGATGTTGAATTTGGGTGGCGATTTAAGATAGATGAAAGCAGAAATTCTTAAGAAAGGTATACCTATTCTTATGGGGATCTGCAGGTTTCTACTCTGATGATAATCTTTGAAGATATCAATATATACTATTTGAAGATGTTAATCTCATCTGTGGATTTTTTTCTGATTTTTGCTTTGCTTACTTGAAAAGGGAAGATATCACATGCACCAATACATTAAAACAATAAGGTTGTAAAATGAAGCATTCGAGTTAAAAATGCAAGAAATTGTTATCTATAAAATTTTAATTCTGTATTGTTTTGTGTAGGCATTAAGGCATTGCACATATTTCAGTATTTTTCTTTTTCATGGCATCCTTTTAATTACTGTAGACAATGAATAACATAACAGGGTGAGGAAAATGGCAATGTATCATACTCTTGAAAGTTTTGGAATGTAGACAGTAAACAAGGCAGGGAAAGGATGGTTTTGTAGTTGTACATCCAAACACTACCTTGGAGAACTGGAATTTATACCTATTTCTGCCATGAGATCCCAGTTATGCTGGGTATATCATATATCACAAAATTCCTTTAGAAAGATCTGCGAGGATACTTTTTTCACTAGGAAATAAAATACAGCAGGCTGTGAGTGCAAGTGGTACATCATGCCTTGTATCTACATGACTAAACTCTCTTATCCCTCAGAAGAGGATGGCCTTGTCTATACAGTTGTCAATGGACAAGTCCCTAGGCCTTGTCACTGTTGAGCCATGGCAAAGCAATGTCCAGCCGTAACTTAATTGTCATGGCCCAAATAGAACCAATGTCAAAGGAACATTAAAAAGATATGGAAAGTTATGGCACTGTCTTTGAGGAGATATGTGACACCTCTTTAATTTGTCAGTGAAAAATGAAGCTTTACTGTGTGTTCCTCTTGGTGCTTGGTGCATAACTGGAGATTTCACTGGCAGAAAGGCTGCTGACTCTACCTGCATCTGAAGGGAAGATAAACACAGCATGCCCTGCATTGTGTTAAATACTTTGAGAAAACAAGCAAACAGACTGATCATGATCATGGCATCTCAGATTAAGCATCTAAGATTAATCAAAAGTTTTGAATATCTTTATATGCCTCATCATCCCGCTGGTGAAATGAGGACACCAAGAGCACTCTAAGAATGCTCTTACTTAACTCTGTGGAATTCTCAAATGCTTTGCTGGGAAGGACCTTAGGAAAACAGATGAGGAAGTAATAATAAATTCATATTCATACCAGGGTTTGAATATTTTGCGGTAAGGAAGGCCTGAGGCCAAGCACAGAGCTGTGAGGATCTATTGAACAGCTGCTCAGTAATTAGCTACCTGACACTTAAAAATGCTGAAGACCAGTACTGTGCGCTGAACGACACTGGATAGACGGATATAAAGAAGGTGAAGATAGGTATGAGGGGGTGGATGGATGGTTGGATGGATTGATAGAGACTCGTCCATTCCATCCAGCTCGAATTCGCCTTGCATCAGAGAGATCTTGGGAAAAAAAAAAACAATAGATGTAATGCATAGCCAAATGTTGTTGGGGCTCTGCAATCTCACAAGAGCAGATGTGGTAAATCTGCTCACTGCAGATCAATGACCTTGAGTTCAGAAATGTGCCTGCCCTTTGGAGTGGTCATTTCTCACTTCTGAACAGGAATTTCTGGCCTGAATGAAAGTAGCACTACAGACCCTCCTCTGGCATTTCTACACACGAGGATATTTGCGTTTGAACCTATAATATGTGTGGAGAACATGTAGGACCGGATGGATTCATCTACTCTATTAATGTCAAAGGGTTTTTTAGAGGAGGTGGCAGCAGATAGCATGCTGTGTAGGCACAGCAGAGCCCTATCAGGTTCTTTTCCTAGGTCCCAGTGCTGATGGATTGATTTGAAGCCCAGAGCATTAAGTTTTTAATCTCTTTTAAAAGCCTCTTTTTTCTCTTTTCTTTCTTCTGGCATTAACTCTTAACATTGGTCATTTCTATTAGTCACAAAAGTGGCCACTCCCCCTTTGAAAGTAATGAAATGAGTAGCTGTAAAGACCCTGCAGTAATGAGTTCCTCCAC